GCGACTGGTGAATATACTCTGACTGTTGCACGCAATACTAACTGAACGTGACTCAGGCAGAGCTTTCACCTAATTTATGAATCCAGAATTCTGACTATAACACGTCTCACTTGCATGTAAGTGTTTGGTCCCAGGAAGCTTGGATTTACGTCAGGTTTAAGATCTCTCTGGCGTATACGCGTCCCCTCAAGGAGAAAGGCCCTAAATACTGGAAAGGATGTTGATTAGAATTCAGATGACGGGCGCATAGCTCGAGCGGTTAGCGAAAGGTGCACTTGGTAGAGTACCAAATGGCTGTTGTGATTGTGGGCAAAGGGATCGTTGTGTTAGAAATTCGTGTAAATTGGCTCCAGGATGGAGTGTGATGCACAGCGCGATCAGGCGTTGACGTGTGGGCTGCCAAGCTAGCCCACCACTTTACGCGTCGCCCAGACGCGTCCAACTCACCATCCACCGATAGCCGCAAATTCACGAACAACACCACGACTTACCCAAACAATGGCGCTCCTAGTAGACAAACACAGACCGCGCAACCTTGAAGCGCTCAGCTACCATCCCGAGCTTTCAGATCGCCTCCGAGCTCTCGTAAGGAATGATTCACATGCTCCATCGATTGCGGCAACTAACGCAACACTGTGTAGGCACAAAGCGGCGACTTCCCACATCTGCTCGTATATGGTCCTTCCGGCGCAGGAAAGAAGACGCGCATAGTCGCAACACTGAAAGAGCTCTACGGCCCCGGTGTCGAAAAGATCAAGATCGACGCGCGCGTCTTCCAGACTACCACGAACCGCAAACTCGAATTCAACATCGTCGCTTCCGTATACCACCTTGAAATCACACCTTCAGATGTCGGAAACTACGACAGAGTAGTTGTCCAAGATCTGTTGAAGGAGGTTGCGCAAACACAGCAGGTCGACTTGGGCGCAAAGCAGCGCTTCAAGGTCGTAGTGATCAATGAGGCAGACCATCTGACAAGAGATGCGCAGGCGGCGCTGAGACGTACTATGGAGAAGTACAGTCCCAACTTGCGATTGATTCTGCTCGCCAACTCCACAAGCAACATCATCGCGCCCATCAGGAGTCGGACGCTACTTGTGAGGGTTTCAGCGCCTACAGAGACCGAGATCTGCAGTGTTTTGAGCAAAGTGGGCAAGAAGGAGGGGTGGAAGGATGTTGAGAGTCTGAACCAGAGGATAGCGAAGGATAGCGGGCGAAACCTGAGGAAAGCGCTGTTGATGTTCGAAGCAGTGCACGCTCAAAAGTATGGCTTCATCTCTTCCTACACCCCCAACCTTATGCTAACGTGTCAACAGCGAGAAAATCACAGACCAGACGCACATCCCACCGCCTGACTGGGAGGCACTCATCCAGCAAATCGCCCGCCAAATCGTCGAAGAGCGATCTCCTCAACGCCTCCTGCAAGTTCGCGCGTCACTCTACGATCTGCTATCGCATTGCATCGACTCTACGACCATCATAAAAACACTTACCTGGAAACTCATACCAATGACGGAAGATGCGCTGAAGCCTGAGGTTATCAAGTGGGCAGCGTTCTACGAGCACAGGTGTAAGATGGGCGCCAAGCAGATCTTCCATTTGGAGGCTTTCGTCGCAAAGTACATGAGATTGTACGAGAGGTATGTACTGGACTCCAGAAAGTCAGGCCTACACTAATAACTGTTGCAGCTACGCCATGGGCATCGATTTCGATTCGTCATAGTCGCACATTCACAAATATACGGTTCAGGCGTGGAGGAGAAGTAGATAATGTGTCACCATACCAGGATGTTCTGGCGCTGCAGAGCGCGTCTCGCGTTCGGCGTTTGGTGGTTACGTCATAGCATGGAGCTTTCCCCATACCTCGAGTTTCTGAGCTTCAATACCACTACCATCTCACACAATCCAAATTCTTGTACACGTCCTCCGCACACAAACCTTCCCATACCCACAAAAACACTATCTCCGTACGCGTGCAAACATGTCAGACAAACTCATGGACACCGAGCCCGGCGGCGAGCGCCAGAACCAGTACGAAGGCGTTCACACATTCGTTGAGCCTCATGCGAAGGAAGCCGGTCAACTAGGCGGTATGACTTCCTCTCTCTCCCTTTCAGTGTGTAACTGCTAACCAATGGCTTCCGCAGATCCCTCAACAGGCACCTCAGTCAACAAGAAGACCTCCGACCCCGGCGCGCCCAACACCCAAGGCATTACCCCCGCAGACAAGATCCGATACGGACAAAGTATCCAAGAAGGCGGTATGGGTGGCAAGACAACAAGTTCAACGGGCCAAGCGAACGCGGAAGGTACGTCAACGGCAAATAGATGTTGTAGTTGTGCATGGCAGGCTAATCATGAGCAGGTGGATTCGGTGGTACTGAGGCGTTGAAGGACGATGACGAGAATGCGGCGAAGCAGAGGAGAGAGCAAGGGTACGGTGGAGACAAGGATATGGACAGGACTATCGGCGCATAGTGGCAAAGACTAGGCTTCACGAAAGAAAAGCGCGAGGGATGGATGCAAACCAACTATGATTGCTTGGAGGATGGCATAGGCTCAAGCAGGGCATGGACATATACACTACTATACATTGATGATACAACTTGAGCATCCTGTCTTAGAATGCTTGTCTTATCATCAGTCCCAAACGCCATCGCTATGCAGCCGAACCTTTGCGTTACTCATACAAAAAGCGTCTAAGAAAGAGGAGGGATATCTGAGCAGAGATCAAAACCAAATCGAAGAAATGCAAGAACCTTCCACACAGGCAAACGAAACCAACCTCAACGTCTTGTAGCATCGTCAGCCCTCTGCTCGACCTTGGCCAACTTCCTCGCCAACGCTCTTTCTCTTTCCATAACGCTGGCTAGCGTATCGCCTCTCTTAGTTATTCCTCCCAGATCAGGCGCTCCGGTAGGCATCGTACTGCCCATGTCTCCTCGACTAACCCCGTTTCTACTGCCACCACCCCACGCACCAAGGCCCCATCCTCCGCCTGGGGCTACAGTCGGCCTGGTTGGCTCCCTGCTAACGAGCGCACCAGGTCCGTGGCCATACATGCTGACCCGTTGTACCTTTCGAAGCCTTGACAGACCGTATACAGCGACGAAGAAGCCGAAGACTGAACACCAGGCGCTTATGCCGAAGAAACCGAGATCAGACTCTTCGATGAAGTTCTTCAAGTTCATGCCGTACAGAGCGGCGACGAAGGTTCCGGCGGTGATTGCGAGGGTGAGGATCGAGAACTTGAGGTCGAGAAGCATGAGGGAGTTGCGGTTGGCATCGAGAATGGCTTTGACGCTGTGGATGGTTAGTGACAGGGGACTGTACAAGAACAATAGAACACATACATCTCCTCGGTGTTCCTGATGCTCGACACCAAGTTCTCAGCTGCTTGAACGATTTCGTCGGCGACCTTGTGATAAGATTCCAGGAGCATCTCGACTTCCGTGTGATCGTCGTCTTCGCGCGTCTTGCCCTCAGCCTTCTCAGTCAAGTACATGGCGCTGAGATCATCGTCCGCTTCCAGCAATTCTTCGAGCGCATTCCTGACTAGTCGTGCCTTTTGTTCGAAACTACCCAGCTTCTTACTGTAGATGAGCAGGTACCGTAGCTTGTCCCTATCGATGTCTTCCTCGAGCTCCCTGAGAACTCTCACCACCGGCTCACTGACACCTTCGAACTCCTTCTCCAGACTCAGTGTTACGCTTATGAGGACAGCTTCAAGTGCTCGGAATTCGTAGGCGAGGGTGCCGTTGACGGTGGACTCCTTCTGGCGGAGCTTGAGATCGAGATCGTACATGAATACAGACTGCGACTTTGAATCGGTGGTACCGTAGGCGTCAAAGACAAGTACGCGGTTGTGCTTGAGGAGGACACGAAGGTTGAGGAGGTTTATCAGGATCGCAGACGGCCGGACGAGAATATGTGGGAGGAGCGAGGAATCGATTTTACGGAGATCGCGAGGAAGTAGACCATACTATTCTCAACTATCAGTTATAGTCTAGGTAGACTCATTGGCATGCGTACCTTAGCGATCAGCTCGCTCTTCTTGAACTCTCCGCTAACAAGGGTGACATTGCCATGCTCGTCAAGTTCCGTGCACCGCATCTTGAGCTCGTTCGTAGGTCGCATTATACGTCCCAAGCTGCTTCCAAACCCTGTTGAGCCTGACGAAGGTTCATCTGGTGGCGGCTGCGGTGCTTGCAATTGGGCCAGTTTTCGCATCTTTGCTGAATTGAAGATGTTCCACCCATTGTTCGGAGGTGTCGTAGAGAAACTGCGGTGACCCTGAGGGTCTACATCTCGAACTGAAAGAGCCGTAGCCTGTGGAACAGCAAGCGAAGTCTCGAGGACTGGTTGTGAAACCTTCCTGGCCGGCAGACATTGCGACGTTGCGAATGTCCTACTGCCCTCTCTCCTCTTGCAACTTGATGTCTTTATCCTGCATGTCGCATCTCCAGAAGCCCATCTCATCCCAAGATTGGTCCCATATCCGCGTCGTTGCTGGGGTGCTTGTGCGCATTGCGCCAGCGGTCGCTCGAATGCATTGGTGACTTGGGCCCTCAGGAAGCTCAGAACCGACGGTGATGGGGCGGCGACTCTATGAAGCAAAGTAGGCTTCATAACTTTCCATACGTAGAGTTCCGTATACGGCAGCGATCCATACGGTCGTTGTTGAAGTTGTTCGAGAATATCGCTCACGTCTCGCCCGCACGTCATTGGCGTTCGGCGATCTTGGAAAATCATTTTGCGCTAGTGACGTCACGTGCGGCCGCGTTCATCCCCGTGCATCGTTCGCAAACTATGACATTGCGAACACAACGTCCGTTTTCTGCTTTGGGTATACCCCTATCGATGGCATGTCGCATCCGATATATAACGCGCTGATACGAACCCATCACATAACTTCCCGGAAGAAAGTGGCCAAGTTGAAAGCTGCTGCGTCCAACTGTCACATATACGCCCTACTACGATATGGTGGCTGTCCAGGAATCATGTATTGCCAAGGCTCTGAAACAGGTGTAAAGGAATGGGTAGCAAGTGTCCAGAGGCTGCGTTATAAGGATTTCCAGTTGGTAAAGAAGCCTGCTGGAAAGGAGGTTGAAGGGAAAGAGGCGGAAGACAACATCGCGTACGGAAAATTAGAAGAAGTCGATAGCGTGAAAGATTTCGGGGTTAGTATGCAGAAGATGGGTGTCTGGAGCTGGTGGAGGAAGGGTATGGGCTACGTCGGTGACGACTCAAGCTTCTAGGTCTTGAAATCTACCGCAATACCAGGTCAATAGGTATACATGGCCTTGCAATCACCGAAGGAGTCGGTAAAGGTACTTCCACGATACGTGGAGTTATTACCTCAGATCCGGTGGCGAACAGACGACTTCGGGGAAGACGGTGTCGTTCAAGCTTCTCTCACCTGCTTGATAGCTTCGGCTGTTGCTAGGTGATCGTCCGATCGGTAATATATATACCTACCGCCTACGTGATCTGTTCTAGGACTCTACCATCGACTCTACCCTATACTTTCGAGTATACAGTATCGACGAAGCATCCCTCAAAAACCATCACGCGTCTCCAGGCCATCTACATCATGACCACACCATCAAGTGCTGTCAGCCCTGGCGATAGCCTACAGGATACATCAGATGTTCAGTCCACCCTTGCAGCTACGAACGACGACTCTATTTTCGGTAGTGGTTACAATGGAGAGTCACTCGAGTTCGATGATGAGCCACTTGACCTCCAGAACAAGAGAAAAATTACCGATCCTGACCTCGAGATCGTTACGATCGACAGGCAGTACGATCTGACCCTGATCGTAGGGTCTCCGGAGCACGTTGGTGGTCAAAAAGCCTATCAAGTCAACAAAGGCGTCTTTCGACATGCTAGCAAGGCCTGGGACGCCATGATGAGCGGCAATTGGGCTGAGAGCGACATGTCCGAGATCGCCTTTCCTGAAGACTCATCCTACGCCTTCCATATCGTCCTCCGAATTGCTCACTGGCATTTCCAAGAGCTACCTGCAACGCTATCGCAGCAGGAGCTGGTACAGATCGCTGTCTTATCGGACAAATACGACCTCGAGCGTCTCCTTCATGCTGCAGCCGAGTTGAAGAACTGGATCCAACAACACAAAGACGGTGGTGTATCTTGGCCTTCCGACATCGATCTTCAAGACTTTACGATGATTACGGCCGCGTTCGGGCTCACGGCTGACTACGAATATCTGATCAATAAGCTGGCCATGGAGATCTCAGTCGATAAAGACCAGCGTTACTGCGTGGTACACGATGATAAGTTGGTGCATGTCCGAGCTGACTTCCCCGCCCGTATCCAAGGTGAGTACACAGACCGAGATCAGTCAAGAGAAAAATTAAACACCCTGGAGCCCACGTTGACGTTGAATCATCTACTTTGCATGTTTTCATCTTCATGTAGGCTGCAGGCCTGTTCAGTCTTTTTCCTTGCACGATGCCCTACTTTTGCTATCTCATAGATGCTAACCTTTAGCATAGCTCAAGCCGGTCAAATCCGTACCGTCGTACTTCAAGAGCTCCTGCAGACGTGCAAAACCGCCTTGCACAATACTTTTACCAAGGATGTTGGCAAGTGTGGATCAAAACTTTGCCCATTGACCCAATTTGGCTTGACGACTAAAGTCTTGGACGCAGCAGAACTTCATCCACTTCCAGATGATGTGTCTTCGATGCAATCCAGTGTCTTGGCCTACTGGACCTACTTGAATAACACCGGAATCGACTATGACGGTCTCCTGCCAGCCCGATGCCGGGTCGCGAAACTCAATTGCGTGGGAGACTACGGCATCTTGAAGGAAGCTCGCGAAACCATTAAGCGCTACGCCCACCCGGATCTCTGGGCGAGATGGAAGGCTGTACGTATGCATTCTTTGAGTAACTAAGACCTCCGACTAACAATAGCACAGAACCAATACATCTGACCCGAGCTTGTGCATCTGTGCTGCTCTGGTGCCTCCTGACTATCTCTTCTTTCATTGATTCTTTCCAAAAGTTGGGTGCCTTGAATTTACGGCTGCCATGCGGCATAGCGGTTATTGGATTTCTTAGGATTGCTTAGTTTTAGTACAAAATAAAAGTTCATCTTTATAAATCTTTCTGATAGCCCATAGTATACGTGCTACTATAACTTGATAACTACACAGGTTCTAAGATGATGTAGGCTCCTGCCCTGATATGTTCTTTGGAGAATGCGACACATATTATAGCTACCCCTAGTCACCAGCTCATCCCAACCGAATCTTCCTCCGGACTTTATGAACCTCCTCTCTTTTCAAGCCCCTCCTACTCCCCAACAGGCAGAATCGCTCCCAATGGTCTCCAAAATTTCGGATGAGGAGTGCGCATCCATCGTTCCAGAACGAATAGTGCGGCTGACCAATGACGCCTCCACTCAAGCTCGAGCTATCGAGTTGGGGGAAATGCAACGCCAGAAGCGAGCCAACAGGGAAGCTCTCCCCGATATCTGCATTAGACTCCGTGTAGCTAGAAATTTCTACTGAACGGAAGATCTCTGGCTCACCAGACACTAGGGTTGATGCGTCGATAGAGTAGTAATGTATATCCCCGTTACCCTGCTGGTATGCAATAATCCGAGATGTGAGCGCTTCGAGGTGGATGAATCGACTCGGCCGATCGGCGTTTCCATTTGATGATCGAACTTGAGTGTAGTCTTGAAGGTCTGCATAGTCGGCCTGATAATCGGACCAGTTCAAGAGCCGACCAGATGCAAGTTCTACCTCGATATGGATGGCCTCTTCTTTAGTCATAGGTACGTGATACAGAGTCTCGCGATCTGTGTCAAGACGTTCTACACGAGCGTTGCAACTAGTCCAGGACCAGCTGGGAAACCCTTCCCGGCGAGAATGGGGGCCGCTAACGATCCAGCACAGGCCCAACTCGAAATTGAGAAAGGCGGAAGGCACTGGCGCTGGGACGGAATTAGAGAATGGAATACCCCACAGATGACAAATACCGTGTTCCCGCCGAAAGTATGCCAAGATACCTAGCAAAGCATTGAGAATATCGCTCTGATACGATAGAATCCGTGTGGAGTAGTTGGAGATACACTCCCATATATGCAGTCTTCCGAGTGAGTATCTCCTGAGATTCTGGCCCCGTGTAGTAGTCCGCGCAACTTCTGGAACTGGATATCCAGTACGCAAACGTTCAGGTAGAAACTGCTCCAGACTCGTTTTGGGAATTACCCCTATCTCCTCGTGAATGCCTTCAGCTGACCCGAAGAATGTCTCCTTATCCGTGAAGTAGATTTGTCGTTGCGAGAGAAGGGCTTCTTGATACGTCCACGCACGTGTCGCCCAGATGCCAGAATGAATCTCGATAGACTGTGATAGTGCCCCTATACAGCCAAGTCCAGCAATTTCGATAGAAGGATTCGGATTTCGTCGTCTCGAAATGCCCGGCAAACCATAGTTGGGATCGTTCCCTGCACATGCCACAATCGTGAGGAACGAGTTTTGGTATACTTCGTTCATCCTACTGATCTGTAGACTTCGAAGTAGGCTACTTTCAGTTGATATACAATACCTGTCAACCCATAGGTAACGGATGCTCAGCGCGTTGCAAACTTTGATACTGTCTTGAATCGTATCTGGAAGATGTAGAGGCAATTGGATACCGTTGGTGTGATCGGATGAGGCCTGAACAGTACGTCCCCAGACGTAGCTCAAGGTCACGTAAAGCTCTTCTTTAGGCAAGGGCATAAGCGTGCGCGTAGTACAGTCGATAACGGTGAGAGCTGAATTCGCGTCATCCTTTCCGTTGAACGACCGAGCTTGTTGCGTGCGTCTTTCTTTGTCCAACCAATCAGATACCGGTGCTAGATTCAGGCTTGGGGCCGGTATTTGGAGCTTGTGAGTTTGTGAACCTCCGATAGACACACACACAAATGGCGAGACTTCGACGTGTTCGTTCCCAATGCGGATTTCTTCAGAAGAAACGGTCATCGCTAGACCCCCTAAGCTTCCTTCTTCGTTCTTAGGCGGGTAGCACAAAGCCTCTACATATGCAGGTTCTCTCGCGTCGGCAGAAGATGCAGAGTTCATGCAGATGGACCATGTGCCATCCGCACCACGTATTTTGCATCGTTCCGGTAAACATTCCATGAAGAATTCGCACAGCCCACATCCTCCCGGTACGAGGGAATTGGAGTAATGTCCGAACTCCAGATCAGTATTTCCGATATTCTTTGCGTCGGTAACGCCAAACAGACGCTCAATCTGAAATTTCTGGCAGTTGTCGCAAAATGAACTCAGATTGACAGACTTCATTGTTGCGACCGGAAGACCTCGTCTGTGTGGTATGTTTTAAAGGCAACATATGACGTGTTCTCGGAAAAGAATGGGTCGCGACCTGCCAGGATTCGTCGAGTATGGGTCGAGCGCTATCTGCGATGATCTTGCTCTTGTCGGAGGGCTAGTCGCTTCTGAAGCTAAGTGAACAGTGAGCAAGAAAACGCTTGTGTGTGAAATCTTACGTGGAGTAGAAGTTTACATCGCTGTTGCCTGTTGTTTCGCTTACGGCTGAAGGCTCACCTGCAGGAAGCCACCACGTGGCCAACTACGTGCCCCTGCCATCATCTGCATTATCAGAAACCGGCGAAAACATTAAACAGTGACATGCCGCAATAACTTGTGCAAGAGCGATTGCAATAATGTGATTGATTAAAATGCGACGCTAATGCGCTATAAACGACCGAATGCCTCTCTTCCTCTAATACTCCTTTGCCAACTTACTCCTCGCGCGGAGCAGATGTCCATACTTGAACATGACGAACGGAATCAAACTCAAAACCGTTCCGAACATCGCAAGAATCAATCCCGCATACTGGCTTCCTACGTTATGGAAGAACGCACTGGCGAAGAGCGGGGTGACAGCACCGAGCGTGTTCCTCATTAATCCCTGACCAGCGATAGCCGAAGAAGACGTCTCGCCATAGCAATCGGCAGTGTATGAGTAAGTGCTCTCAAAGACGAAGAAGATACCGAATGCGATGGGTGCAAGACCGATGACGGGGCCAACCCAGCTCAGGTATCCGTATTGTGTGAAGGAGTAGATGAAGAGACCGATAGGTAGCCAGACAGCGCCGAACATGGCGCCATAGAGACGGTGTTCGGGAACGATGCGAACGTTGGGGTCTTCTTGGAGTTGGTTGTACTTGCGCATCTGGAGGTGGTGGGCAGCCCAGCCGAGGAAAGTACCAATGGCGAGAGAGATGTAAGGCAGGCCGCTGACACCTTCGGACCAACCACGCTTCTCGGTGAAGGTGATCGGAATGACCGAAAGGAACAAGAAGACGACAGCCCAGCAGAAGGCGATCCAAAGACCGAAGGCGAAGACGACGGGTTCTGTGACAAGCATGCGGATGGCCTTGACGGACGAAGCCTTCAGCATAGACTTGACATCGGGAGTGTAGATGTCATCTTCCGCGACGTATCGCTCATCTCCAGTTGCCTTTTGCAGCTGCTTGGCTCGCTTGTGTAGTCTGGCACCGCCGCGTGTCTCGGGGAAGGCGACGAAGATAAGGATCAGGAGAGGAATATTGGCGAGGCCCTGGATACCCTCAACCCATCGCCATCCGAGCGCTTGGTCGATGAAGCCGGCGTAGATGGGTGCAGCGACAGTACCGAAGATGGCGACGAAAGCGAACATGGCCATCGGTCGGCCGCGCTTGTGGGGTTCGTACATGTCGTCGAAAGTGCCGCCGACAAGGATGGTACCGACGCAGCCGAAGAGACCGAGTAGTAGGCGGAGGCCGATGATGGTAGAGATGTTTTGTGCGAGCGCGAGACCGATGAAGATGAGCGAGAAGCAGAGGAAGGCACTGGCGTATACGATCTTGCGTCCGACAAGCTCACAGAACGGAGCTAGTACCATGGGTGCAATGGCACACGAGATGTTGAAGGTGAACAGTCCAAGCTGACCGTAGATTGTGTCAACGCCGAACTCCTCGCACATTCTGTTGATGCCCGAACTGTATGCCGTTGTTGCGAGACCGATGAAGAGCGTCATCAAGTTCAGCATCGTGGTGATACTGCGCTTGTACCAGGGGTTCCAGTTGAACGGGTTCTCTTTGTCACCAGTGGCGAAGCTGAGCACGATGTAGTCTTTGCCCTCATGGTGGACCATCTCGGTCAATGTAAGAGGCATGTCGCAGTCGACCTTCTTGATCTCACCACATCCAGGATCGATGTCCTCAATGTCGTCGGTAAGATGCTTTCCACCTGCGATTCGTCCAACAATGAGCTCGCCCTTTTCGTTGCGCAATACTTCGGAGTTCATGGAAGGGGCTTCCTCTTTGCCGTTGGCCTGATCCTCTAGTTTGCTGTTCACTCTCGAGAGCAACGCAGGTGTAGTTGCACCAGTGTTGGCAGCTGTGTTGGCAGCTGTTTGTTGTGCAGTCGTACCGGCGATTGTGGCGGCAATGGAGCCATTGCGAGGTGTGGTAATCGAACCATTGCGAGGTGTGACGGGTGCACTGCGAGCAACTCTGTATGAGGAATTTGCTCTCGACGCTGCAAGAGATGGAGGTCGCGATGACTTGTGGTTGAAGGAGGGACCGTAGTACCCAGACATGGTGATCGACGATTAAAGTGGAGGTTCCTGTTTGGAAAACAAAGGAATGGGCGCGGAGTGACGACCGTAATCAAAGAGAGGAATGGGATTTGGGAGACGGAAAGCAGATATGTATATCCTGCTTGTCAACACCGGCGAGGGACGGCATCGTCGCCACTAGGGGCGGTGTGTGGGATGGCATTCGTCCCGTCCATGGCCTGACCGTAAACACCCGACAGGCTGGCTCGAGGACGAAGGACCACTACAAAGGGGGTATCCCAGGTTCATCGTCTTCGACGTCATAGTATCG